AGTACCACAGAATTGAGGTTTACATCAATTACCTTGTTATAATTTGTAATGTAACCCGGGTCTGTTATGCCAGTCATGTCAAAAATACCGGCATTATTGACCAAAATGTCTAACCGTCCGAACGTGTGGACAGTGGTGTCGACCAGTCGTTGAATGTCTCCCTCTATGCGGAAGTCTGTCACCACTTCCAGCGGTTTGTAAGCCATGGGCGACACCTGTGAGCACTCGTGCGCTACGCGTGAGATGTCGTCCCCATCGAGACCACTGACCACTACTCGGGCACCGCTTCGGGCAAACAGTAGGGCAGTGGCGGCGCCGATGCCTGAACTCGAGCCCGTGATTAGTACTACCTTTCCCTCGAAGTTATATTTAATAGACATTATGTTGTGTTTCATAAAAGGGGTATCATATCATATACTGTAGAATTGTATTAGTATTGATTTTACTAATATGATTCAATACAAATGTAAAATATTTTATAAAACATAGTGAGTAAGCTATTTATTAAAAAAATTGATTATTTAATAAATGTTTAAAAAGGAATATAAATTAATAAAATAATTCTGTGTTCTACAGTATGTTAATTTGGAATTGTGTATTGATATTTAAAATATATTTGTCCATATACTTTATTAATGATAAAGCAATTTTATTAAACAGAATTTCATTTTTAAAAATTTTAATGCAGTTTTTTCTAATATGCTTATTAAATTTTAATGTTTTTATGTTTTTTGTAATCAATTTTTTATAATAATAATTAAATATATGAACACATTTTAATATTATAATTGTGATATTTTATTAAAACAAAATTAACAAAGATTTTATATGATTTCTTATAAAATCTGGTTATCACTACTTTTCCCGTGAAATCTATTGCTTAAGATATTATTGTGTTTTGTTTTTATATGCCAATGAATTTTTAAAATTTTAGCAATAGGATCTAAATAAAAATTGCAATATAACATAATGACTAACATTAGTATGGTAAAAATAAGATAAAGTTATAAGATTTTTGTACTTGTTTATGATTTATTAAATATTAAATTTTTTATGCTATTTATTTTTAAAAATTTAATTACGGGTCATTTAATAAGAATACAGAAAAAACCCCTAAATATTAAACATCTACATAATCTTAATATTTTTAATTTACCACAAAATATACATTATTTGTATACTTTTAATTTATTAATTTTAACATAATTGTATAATTTAAAACAATTAATATTCTATATGCAATTAAAAATATTAGTTATTAACATATTAGTTTTATTACTGAAACTCTTGATTAACAATGATTAGATAGTTACCATTTAATTAGTAGCTATTAATAGCACTATCACAATAAGCAAGCTCATTAATAAAGCCTATTTTCAATGGCAACGCAACAGCTACGCGCCGACGGAAACCGCAACACATGTTCGTAACGGACGGGCACTTGAGTGTCGGCGCACCGCACGAACCGGTACTTCGCGACCGCGTACGACAAACACAACTTGACCGCCAGCATTGCGAACCTCACGCCTACGCAACCGCGGGGCCCGGTGCCAAACGGTAGGTACGCGTAGGTATGATTCAGATGCCTATTATCAGGCATAAAACGATCAGGGTCAAACTTATATGGGTTGGGCCAGTAATCTGGGCTATAGTGCAGCGCAAACACGGGTATATCGATGTCCTCACCGGCCTTTAGCGTAATACCTGTTCCCTCGAGTTCGTAGTCGGCGCCGGCATTACGGCGTAACCGCAGGGACGACGGGTGTAGTCGTATCGACTCGGTTACGACGGCATCCAAATAGGGTAGTCGTGTCGTCAACGCGTCGTACGGTATCTCTCCGTCCGAATCGATGGCACCGTTTATCTCGTCGTAGAGTTTCTGTTGAATGTCGGGGTTTAGGGCCAACTCATAGGCACAGAATGCCAGCGCCGACGGTGTGGTGGAAAAGCCGGCGAAAAAGAAAGTCATTGCTGTCCCGTAAATCTCCGGTTCCGACAGCCGTTTGTTTGTGTTATTAAACAAATGTCTGTCCGATTGGGCAGTGGTTTCCGTGGTGTTGGCCAACCATTCACTAGCTATTGGTTTGCAGTAATCGTTTAATTGTGATAAATATGACACAAAACGTACATGTTCATCTATAAAATTGGTTGCACTTACCCTGGTTATCTCCATCGTTATCCACCTTCTCATCCCTATCCACTGTCACATCCGCATCCAGAAGCAGTTGTATGAAGTCATTATACTGACCCTTTCCCAATGAACCCTGAGCTTTTCTATCAGCAAGCACACGTCGCATGGAGTTAATGAAAAACTCCCGGGGCTCAGGGCTAGTCAAGCCTAACCACCGTTGTATGCGTAACTAGAGCAACCAAAATAGTTTTTAATTATTACCTTGTTACTTTATAGTGAATT